AGGCACCAGCCAGGCATGCCCAATCGGAAGATTGATTATAAATTTTTTCCGTTCGTGGTCAGGTTTAGGCTAGAATTTTGGCCCAATCAAGAGGCCGACCTGGGTCTGCTCATTGATCACATGTGCTGTTCATTTAGGGCGTGTTTGGCTACCATTCTATTTTCGAAAGCTGATTCTGCTCAGAAATTATTCTTTTTTATTCCGTGTCCGGGAACAATGTCTAAGCATTTGAATTCATATAGTAATTGCCCAAAATTTCTATTCTTAAAATAGAAAAAGAACAGAAATGCGTCTGGTAATTACACAAAATTTCTTTTTATTAATAATATTTTGAATTTTTTAATATTTCTTTCTTTTTTTCTTTTTTTTTCCTTCCACTTCCCCTTCCTTGGCCATGGCCGGTCACCGGCGCCGGCGAGGGCGGCCCTCACCCAGGCCGCGAGCCGCCCTCGCTGACCACAGGCCAGGAAGAAGAAGAAGAAGAAGAAGAAGAAGAAAAAGAAAAAGAAAAAAAAATTCTTGATTTTTGATTTTGTTCCAAAACTGATTCTGGGAACAAAAAGTTACTATTTTTTGCTTCTTGATTTTGTTCCAAAACTGATTTTGGGAACAAATTTTGGCAAATTTTTGTTCGGGAACAAAAAATTTGTCAAACAGATTTCTATTCCAAAATTGATTCTGAGAACAAAAGAACAGAAATTGTTACTGTTTGGCAACTTGCCAAACGCGCCCTTACTCAGAAACAAAAATCCTTTTTGAAGACACCGTTATCCGAACTTCTTGAAAAACCTGATTAATCCCCTCGAGTCGCAACAGTCCTTCCATCCATCTCCCCATCTCCAAATTATTATTGACACTAGAGGTCCCTAGAGGTTGCCCTAGCAATGTTTTCTTCGTTAGGACTCGGCCTATAAGTTTTTTATCACGATTTATTACTTAACATTGACCAACTTCGCAAAACTGTTGGGGGTACTGGTACGTGCAATTTGGACAAAGGGTATGGACACAATGAGTAAAAACTTCTCCAATGAGATATATCATTTATAGCATATCCAATGAATGACCAAAGGCATTTTTATTTTTTTTGGTCGAAAGACCAAAGGCATTTACTGAGTATTTTATTTTGCCCCGTGACACGGATTAGAAACGGCGTCCCAAAGAAAATTCTACAGAAGAGGCAAAGTAAGTCCAATAAGTTGTCCGCGTATCGGTTAACATTCAAATGTCGGCAGGACCACGGACCCCCCAATTACAACTAATTGGTCTTGGTATTGACTTGCTCCTTCATTAAAGAAAGTGGTAACGAGCTCATCAGTTTTGGCTTTATTCTTATTATTATTCTATTTGTTAGCCGGAATATTTTATTTGGATTAGAGAACTTCTTTCTAATGACTCTTAACCCTGGATTACTTCACGACCGATTACCCAAAAAACGTGATGACAAAAAAGAATTTAAATATTACGGGAAAAGTAAGAGAAATCATCAATTCTATCTCTTGGGCTGGAAGTAAAGACCCGACTATTTTTCATTGTAAAATTGAACCAAATTCCATAGACATCATTGAATTGATGACATATATATTTGAAGTCAATTACTTGATCTAGTGAGCCAAAAAATATAATTACTTAACCTAAAATTTCTCATATGTCAATAAATGGTGGTAAGTGTAAAAATAATGTTGGTAAAATGGCGGGTGACTTTTTATAGATAACCTGTTAGTAACTTATCGACACTTCTATGAAAAAAAATCCAACTTTTTGTAATAGTTTGCAAATTACCGTTTTCATACTAATTTACCACATTTTATTTGCATAGCTTATTAATGTTTCGAATTTACTAACTCTTATATGAAATTATCAATCTAAATTATAATGAATTACCAACTAGCTTTGAATTATTGTTCTCATTTGATTTATTTGCCAAGGATTATTTTTTTTTTCTAATTCACCAACTTTTATTAAGCAGCCAACTCTTATTGGCATTGCTTAGTAAGCCCTTTCATGTACTAACTTCTTTTAGGAGTGCCACCTAAATTAACTTGACTCCCAGACTTTTCTCACATTGAATCGCCGCATAGTATATGGTTACCAACTCTCCCTTGAGCTACTTATCCATGTTTATTTGTCTTTTTTTCTAATTTTCCAACCTTGCTTATCATCTACAAAGTTTTATTTGTATTTCTTAGTAACGGCTTAAATTAACTAACTCTTTATAAAATGTCCCATCTTAATTAGAGCGGCTTATCGACTTTTCTCTAATTAAGTTACAAACTAGTTTTGAGTTGCAACTCTCATTTTTGTTACTTATTTTTTCTTTTAATTACCAACTTTCGTTTAGTTTTTACTAACTTTTATTTATCTTTCTTAACTATACCTCAAATTTATCAACTCTTAGACAAATTACTAACTTTAATTTAGTTGAATTATCACCTTTTCTCCAATTAAGTTATCAACTAATTTATGTAACTAACTATCATTTTCGTCAGTTATCAACATTTAATATTTTTAAATTTACCAATTTTTTATTAAATATTTAATCAATAAAAAAGTTGGTAAGTTACTCATATAGAGTTTGGTAATTTAATATAACAGTTGGTAAATTTAAGATATTGGTAAAAAAGATACATACAAGTTGATAGAAGATAGGTGATTTTTTTTTGTCAAAGATAAGTGCATTTGGTAATTTAAAAAAAACAAATAATTATTGGCAACTAACTCAAATAAGTGTTACTTATGCAAAACTAGGTGATAAATTAATTGTAAGAAAGGTTAATAAGCAAGGAAAATAAAATTGGCAAATGATAAGGAAAAGATTTTTTTTCAAAAATAAGGGAAGTTAATAATCAAACAAAACCAAATAAACATTGGTAACTAACTCAAATAAGAATTGGTAACGCAAAACTAGTTAGTAATTTAATTGGTGAAAAGTTGGTAATCACTTTAATTGGGGTTAGTAATTTCTAAAAAGAGTCGATAAATTTAAAAAGTTGGTAAGTAGGACAAATAAAAATTGTAACTTAATAGAAACATTGGTGTATTTAAAAAGAAAATAGCTGTTGGTAAGCAATTCCAATGAACGTCGAAACCAAAAAAATATTGGTAATTGATAACAAAAGTCGATATATGTAGAAAACCAAATAAATATCGATTAGTAACTCCCACGAGAGTTGATAACCTAAGATTAGTTGGTAATTCAATTGGAAAAAAAGTTGGTAAATCACTCAAATAAAAATTAATAAAATTCATATAATATATTATAAATTTGAAAAACAGGTAAGAAAGACAAATAAAAGTTAATAAAAGAAAATAGCTGTTGGTAAGCAATTTGACCTAATCATTCTTCCAGATTTGTTGCTAATTTAAGATTGTCAAGTTGAATAAGAGGCCCATGGCATAAAGAATGTTGACATAAATAAGTTGATGTCCTCTTTCAACGCTACTTCCATCTCTATTTTCCACCCAAAGGCTGAAACCACTCGAAATGCGACGAACGTTCATCACACCCCAAAAAAGAAAGCTCTCAGCTTCGTGGAAGATCATAGGATGTAACTTTTGCTGAGTGCAGACATGTGCTTAGATTAGCCGACAAGAGAGACGGACTAAAGTAATCAGATTCCGGCATGGAAATCCACTCGTTGGAGAGGAAGACGAGGTTGACTAGATGTGGTCGGAGACAGTAGATTGTTAGTGTTCTTGTCTTCTTGTTTGTTGTTACTGTTGTTAGATTACCTACTGTTTCGGAAGTCGAAGATAGAAATCTACTTCTCTCTTTGGATTGCTCTCTCCTAGTTCTTCTGTTCTTTTCCGACGAAAAACATCAGCGGTCATGTTATGCAGACTGACCGGGGAAAATATCCTTAATTAGCAAGTCTAAATGATGGTTGTTTTAAATAAATAAATAAAAAATGATGGTTGTTTTGTTTTCACATTTAGCATCCATCCAATATCGCATGTGGGAATTATTGCACTTTTTCAACCGATTCAGTTTTCTGAGTGAAAATTGAGATGCGAATTAATATTGTAATGTGATCAGCTATTATACATGTTGGTCTCTTTCCGTGGAGTGTCAACGGTGATCCTATCAATCATGATTCGCAATTTGATTAAGGCCTTCCTTAATTAGTTTGGCGTGTTTCAAGCAGAAAGCTAATTATTAACTTTTAAAAACTTACGGAAAAAGTTTCTGAGGTGAATGCTCATTTTTTCTTTTGTGAAAAATTAACAGTCGGAATATATTTTCCTCTTTTCTTTCCGACTTTTGAATCACTTGGGAGATAAGCAACGGAAAATCTTTCGGTAGTCAACTAAAACATCAAATATAGATTCAGAAAACTAACTTGTTATTTCGAAAGTCAAAAATCATTTTTCAGAATACAATTTGATCTCTCCCAAGATAGGGTCATCTCAAGTGGTCTAACACATACGCCCGGCTGACGGACGATGAACCTTGACACCTAGATCCCTAGGATCCCGATGCCTTAGATCCACGGCCTTGACGGCCCAAACTCGAGACCCCAATATCTGCACCTAGATCCCAAGGGCTCTACTCTAGGTTTGTTTTTTCTCAAAAAAAATATTCAGAGTTTTCTGATAACAAATATTAGGAAATGACTTCTATCTTATTTGCAAAAGGCAACCAAATACAGGAAAATAAAAAGAGCCATTTTTTCTAAAATAGCTTTTTTTGAAAATAATTTTTCAGTGAAGTTCATTTTCTGTGAAACAAAAGAGACAAAAGCTAGCCAACAATCAGAAAAGCTCATATGAATGAGTTTTTATCAATTCAATGCACGCATTCATTATCAAATGAAGCAACTCTCTTAAGTGTTGAAAAGAGAAAAATTAAAACAGAATGTACTTTATAATTTTTCTTTTCGATCCTCTTTATTGACTTATTGCATACGTTAAAAAAATTTACTCTCTTATAGACCATGTGGTCCACTTCTATATATAGGTTTAGTCCAGATCCATTACGTTCTCCAAACCCCAAGCAACCGGTTCTGTTGTCAAGTACAACACATACGACCGCATCCATACTTTAAAAACCTAGGATATAGTAAAAGAGAAATATGATGGAGGATCGTATGACAGGCTTCAGGTTCTATCCAACTGAGGAAGAGCTAATCTCTTTCTACTTGCACAACCAGCTCGAGGGCTCGCTACAAGATCGGCTCCCCCGGATCATTCCGGTCCTCGACATTTACGCCACTGAACCATGGAATCTCCCTGGTAAAAGAACAAGAAATTGTGCTAGGCATTTCTTCATTTCTCGATCCTTCTCATTCATTGTCACCAAAAAGAAATCGTTGGGTTCTGATAAATGTGCAAACTCGTCACGAATTGTACATAAAGTTTTCAATCTCTCTTGCGGTGTTTTGTGTGTTTTGTTGTGGCAGAGCTTTCCGGAGAGGTATGCCGAGAAGACAAAGAGCAGTGGTTCTTCTTCGCTCCGATGCAGGAGAGAGAAGCCAGAGGAGGGAGACCGAGCAGAAGCACAGCGGTGGGTTACTGGAAGGCGACTGGATCGCCCAGTTCCGTCTACTCATCGGACAACAAAGTGATTGGGATGAAGAAGTCCATGGTCTTCTACGTGGGAAAAGCTCCGACAGGAACAAAAACCAAATGGAAATTGAATGAGTACAGAGCCGCAGAAACAATCTCACCTCCCAATTTGAATTCTGCAAGTTCTAGTATGCCCATGTTTAGGGTAAGCGCGTGCTTGACCTAATTGAATTTGATCTTCATTTTAGTTAATTGCATGATCAGTCTTGAACTTTTGTGAGAGATATCAGGCGGTGGAAAACATTATTTACACAAGCATGCATTACTTATCAATTGATGAGTTCTATTTGTCAACTAATATGTTGTTATTGTTTATCCCCTTGAAATGCTGTAGTTGAGGCATGAATATGCATTGTGCCGAGTGTACATTGTGTCCGGGAGCTCCCGAGCATTTGATCGTCGGCCACTAGAGTTGGTGGCTGGAGAGACAATACAATGCGGAGACGGTGGTGGCAGCGGTGGCCAATCCGCCTCCCCATCAGGATCAGTGACAGAATATAATGATGGAACTTCCAGTTGCAGGGAGAAAACTAGCATGGAATCGGAAGAACCTATATGGGATTGGGAGCACCTCAATGGGTTTTTGCAGCGTCCTTAGATAATAGATTTTCTCTAGATGAATTACCATATCTTTGAATAAAAGTTGTTTGGCAAATGATGTTTTATCCTTTATAGTTTCCATTAGGTGCTAAGAAGAATCCATATTATGTATGGATCTCAACCATAGGTAAGAATAAAAACTCCCGATGGAAGAAGGGTTAATCACAATGTTGTGTCCTCTAATTATGTGCATCCACAAGTGAATAAAAAACCATCTTGATCAAGATCCAGCATGTCTAGTATCGATTTGATGAGCCTTTTTCTTTCAGATTTTAAGTGCTTATATAGGTGTCTATACTCCATATATAAGGATAACCATCGAAAAGTAGTGCTAGCTAACATACATATGATTGTTCGCTTTGTTCTTTGCATGTCGGGAGAAGTGGGTACAGAGTGTGCAATTGCGAACAAATTAAGACGATCGAAAATTTTGAACAAGTAATAAAGCAAAAACCAGAAACAAACGTTTACGTACTTTGGCTATTTAACTACATTCGTGGACAAAGGAGGAGTTGTTTCACTCTGCGGTCAATAAGAATTACACGTGCGATTCAAGAACAAATTCTCACTATCCAAAACCATAGTTATAGTAGTCGCCTAAGAACGAACATGAAGAGACATGATATGTCCTAAGTATTCTACCAGACAAGAAAACCCTAACCACACGCCAAGCAAGTATTCTCTTTACATTTTTTGTCCTTTTTTTTCTATTTCAAAGACTTGCGTGCATCTTCGTTTGTTGAATTCCATCCTTCATAGAGAAATTTTATGAGGTACTGTAGCAAGACTGTAAGGTGTACTACTGTAATTCATAATACTACAGCATATCACATAGTGTAATGTTTGTGTGACGGTGGCCTGCAAATAAACAGACGCACATAAATATAAATTTTAAGGCTTTTTTAAGTGTAAGATCTTCTAATTTCCTTTCCTCCCCTAAGGGGAAAGAAAGAGCTCTTTTAAGGTACTTTCTTCCTGTCATTTCATTTAAATTTAGCTTCTCGTGATGACCTGAATTTATCTATACATCCGCCCCACTCATCCTAAATAATTCCTCCAAAGTGACCGTCCACTTTCCAAAATTCTAATCACCCAATGATACTTCCACTTTCCCCAAACTTTTTTTTGGCCTTTTACCGGTTAAAACCGACTTTCTCTAAATAGTATTATATAAGATCAAGAATATACATCACTTCTGACCATTTTTATATATCTCCATTTCAGTAAATACCATTCACATAACCCCGCATTGAAAAGATCAAATTGTCGCTCCTTGAAAATTCATTTTAGCATCTCACTTATTTTTTTATAGTTTGGTTTTCAGTCGGTTTTGAGTGTTTTTGGGTGGGTTTGAAAATTTAGAATTCTGGAGATAGACATTTTTTATTTTCGTTAATCGGGAGACAAAGATGATAGATGTGAATGAGTAAAGGGGTCTCCGAAAGCTCAGCTCTATGTGGTATTTTCAAAAGTAATAATATGAAAGCGGCCGCTCCTTCCGCGAAAGGTAGGGCATGTTTTTGTATATTTATCTTACTATATATCATCGAGAAGTTGACTAAGGTTTCAGCAATTTTTTATTCGTGGAGAAGGGATTCTCAAAATCTAACACCTCTTTCTCCCAAAAGTTTCTTTCGTCCTCGATGTACTTGAGCTCAATTACGATGGCCTGATAAATTTCTCCAAAGCAAAGGGTCTTCCCACTATCTTCACAACGTCAATGTCGTTCTCCGCGTAGCATTATATGTAAAACACGTGATCTCAGACATGATGAAGCCAAATCTATCACCAAGTCTTCGTCTTTGTGCCTTTTTCACGTTCGCCGGCCCATTTGAGCTTCAAGTAATGAAGTCTTGTAATATGATGCATAGGAAACTTCTATGAAACTTTCATTCAGTTTTTCAGATACGTCATATCTAGTTTCGCAGTATATGGTTATCAATCGGTAAGGTTGAGAAATGAAAATCAATTCCTAGGGTCCGCGACGGAATTGGACTTACGGCATAATTTCTTTCACTATGAAAGTTATAATATCATGGAGCTACTTTGTAAATCTTCTAAAAAAGAAAAAAAAAACAAATGTCAAATTTTGTTTCATTAGGATCATGGTTACTCATGCAAAACCAATTCGTAGCAAAAGAGCAGGATAATTGTTGACACCTATTTTTAATTTGCCCAAAATTAATTACACAAAATTTAGGAATTAATTTTCTTTAATTCCTAAAACAAAAAAATATTTCTATTTAAATGCATTGCATATAGACATTAGGCATATGTATATTAATAGGACCTATTAGAGCATATTTTCTTAAATTTAAAAAAAAAAAAAAAAAAAAAATCGAGTCGGACCGGGTCGGACCGGGCCCGACCCGGCCCATTTCTTTTTTTTTTTTTTTTCTTTTTCCCCCCGGGCCCGGCCCCCTTTTTCTTTTCTTTTTTTTTTTTCCTTCGCGCGGGCCCGGCCCGCTTTCCTTTTCTTCTTTTCCCCCCGCCGCTGCTGGGCCTGGCCCGGCCCAGCCTTCTTCCTTCCTTCCTTCCCCCTGCGCCGGTCGCTCTCTCCTCCCCTGTGCGCCACCGAAGCGTGACGCACGGCGGCGCCGCTCCTCATCGTCGTCACCCGGTCAGAGGAAGCCCAGGCGGGCACGCCACAGGGACTGGCCATTAAGGCCAGTCCCGTCTTCCCCATCTCCCAGGCTCTCTCTCCCTCTCTGCACCTTCACTGAACCGGCCCCCCCCCCTTTGCTCTGCTCCGCACCGGCCTGCAAATGGCCACGAAAGTCGTGGCGTGGCGTAGGCCGGTGCAGGCCGAGGTCACGCCGACGCAGAGAGGCAGAGAGACGCGTCGTCGCCGCCTATAAAAGCCGGAGAGAGAGAGAGAGGCCCGGTCGGCCGTTTGACAAAAGAAACAGAGCAAAGCGAAGCCGGGGAGAGAAAGAAAGAGATTGAGCGAGACAGAGAGACGGAGAGCTCATCCGGCGGCCACCGCGCCTCAGCCATCCATCCCCGTCGCCGAGCCGACGGCGGCGACACAGAGAGAGAGTCCCGGTCGGCGATTTTCAGAGAAAAACAGAGTGAGAGGAAGAAACCGAGAGAGACCGAGAGAGAATAGAGAGAGAAAGAGAGGAGAGTGGGTTTTTACAGGTCCTCAGCCGCGTCGCCGTCGCCCCTCGATCAACCGGAAGTCCCCAGACGCGCCGTCGACCGGTGAGCCTCTCCCGGTCCAGACTGCCCCTGTTCTGCTCTGTCCTCCCCTGTTTTTGCACGCGGTCCGGCCGGGACTCACGCCGGCTGAGTCGCGCGATTCCCGGGCTATGCCGTTACCGTTCCCGGTCCCCACTCGCAGTCAAACGTCAGCCGCAGCCGTCGGAGCCGACCGTGCCGCCGGACGAGGTCGAAATCGGCTGATTTCCCCCGCGCACGCCCAGTGTTCGACAAAATGCCTCAATGAGGCCGGTTTTTGTCTTGTCGCCGGCCGGCGAACGGTGGTCCGACGGCGGCCCAAGTGAGTGGTGTAGCTTAATGGTGGTACAGGGGGTCAATTTGGGGGGGAGGCGACGGTCTGGGTCGGCCGGCGGACGGCCAATTTTGGCTCCGCTGGCGTTTCTCCCCCACGGGTCTGCGAGTTCGGGTCAGACCCGACCCGAATCAGCATATCCGACCCGGGTCAACGCCCGGGTCGGATCCGTTGACCCGGGTCGATCGAAATCGACCCGGATCAGCCGATCCGACCCGGGTCAACGACCGGGTCGGATCCGTTGACCCGGGTCGGTTCCAACCAGGATCCGCCCGACCCGGTTTTATTATAATATTATTTTTTAAAAAAATAAAAAAATTGTAATAAAAAATTTTAAAAATTTTTTTTTTAAATTTAAATTACTTTTTTTTCTGTATTATTATTATTTTTTTTTTTTGAAAAAAAAAATTAAAAAAAAATTCTTCTTTTTTTAATTATGTTATATCTTAGTGTTTAATTTATTGTAGTATTATTATGCATATTTTTGTCTTGTTTAAATTAGATAAGCCTGAGATTGCACGGTAATATTTTGCATGTTAGTTTTTATTACCGTTGTATTGTTATGCATGTTTTTAATACAATTGCATGAGTGTTGTATTTTTTAATGTCATCTGACTTAGTTAAGGTTAGAACCTTAGGCTGCATGAATTGTTGTGTTCCTGACTGCTAATCGTTTCTGATTATGCACTCGCTTGATCACCTCACATGTTAGGAGAAAGGTCCTAAAATCAATCCAAATTGCCAAACAAATGTTTTCAGAAATGAACAGGGTAAAATGGTACCGAAAGGGCATTAGTTATCCAACTAGTGTAACCAAGTCCCCGAACTCATTTAATCTCTGGTTCGTAGGAATAGGGTAATTCTCCCATCACCCTATTTGGGTTTCTAATCGACCCACCCCAAATCGATTAGTGGCGACTCCTTGATATAAACCACTTGCATGTTAAACATTTAAACCCTAAGTCGCGATATGGTATGGGCTTGGGAGAGCCCGAGTTAAGTCCCGAACCTAGACTTAGCACGTACCAGGCGAGCCCCCCTTTTTTTGTATATGTTCGATAAAAAAGGGCTCGGGAGTTCGGTCGCGACAGACTGGCGACTCCGCTGGGGACTTGCATTTTTTAAAAAAGTGGACTTAGGCCAAAAATTTTATCCTGTTCAAAAATGATTTTTGTTTGGCAGCAAGGACTCCAGGTACGATACTGACATTAAGGTGTTATTTGTTCTTGCAGGTTCGAATTGATTGTTTATAATTTGTTGTGCATGCTTTGATGATTTAGCACTACACCGTTGCACACACAACCACGCTGCCGGACCTGGGCCGCGATAGGGCATGTTAGGATGGTGTTAAGAAAGTACGACCTCGAACGCGAGCCCGCGATGTAGAGGTTGCCTTTCTTTTCCCCGAAATTTATTTCTAAAAATCGTAAAGAAGTATCTTTAGCCGCTATTCACGTGACTATAAGATATTCCTTTCGATTTGG